TGTATTTTGTACTATAGATCATATAGGAAATTTTTTTAAAAAAATACTATAAAAATACCAGCAAAATATTACAAAATAAATAATTGTATTTGGTTGATAAATAATACCAAATATTTAAGACATGAACAAAATGACAATTTTTGGGTGATTGAATGATAAAAAAAGCCCAAATTAGAAGTCCACTGAATTTTTTAGGGTAGCCAAAATCAAATATAAAACAGGTCAATGAAAACATGATAAACTCCTTGAGTGATGTAAGCTATTTTTTTGGTTTGATGTCGTCGCTTCTTTCGTTATTCACTATGCCTGAAACCCTAATCCTTAACCCGATCTTACAACAAATTCGGCGAGATTTAATACAAAAAAAATGTTTTACCGGAGATTTTCTCCCAGTAAAGGCTTAAAAAATAAAAAAAAAAATCTGAGAAATGTTGTTTTTGTGGCCAACGGCAGTGATCGAAAAATAAATATTCGTCCCGATTTCTTAATCTGTGTTGCTAAATCTTAACAGGTCGGTCAAAATCGGGCGATAATATTACAAATCTATGAAGAGCTAAAATATTTTTTGTTAAACATAGTTTCTATTTTTTATTATTTTCAATGATCTGTGTCGTTTTTCGAAATTATTTTTGAATAAGCTTCAAAGATATATCATATTTTATACACAATTCGATATTATCTAGATGTTTTTCGAAATTGTTTTTCGAAGAGAACATGACATTGGTCGAACATTTTCAAACTTTTATGTATTTTGTTCAGGGTTTGAAAAATAGGTAAGTTTCTAACAGATCTGTTCAGCTCTACTAACAAATATATAGGTAAGTTTATAACATATATGTTCATATATGTTTATAACATACGTATGTAACTTTTATGTATTTTGTTCAGATTTTGAACAGTAAATAGTTCAATTCTTTCTCGTCTTTCTCACCACAACAATAAGTTAAGCTTTGCTAACACTTTTTCAAAATCGCTTTTCGAAGTTGTTCAAAGTCTTTTGCCGAAGTTTTTCTAAATTTTTAGTATTTTGTTCAAAATTTGAAAATATTAGGTAAGTTTATAACAAATCTGTTTACATATATTTCTCGCATATTAGGAAATTCTTGTTTAATGTTTAAAAGAATCTGTAGGAATTTTTATTTTTAAAACTTTTACGCAAAAAATCGATTTTAATATAAAGGCAAATGTCTTGGTAAAAGTTGAATGTGTTGATAATAATAGGGAGATCAAATTATTTTTCTTTCTATATTGTATAGTGTCCAATAATGTTCCACATAATTTGTTGTGTTTTTAGTTTTGATTTTTTTCATATAGATTTGACTTTTTTGTTGATTATTATGCTTGATATTTTTATATTATACAACAATCTGCCATTACATATAATGCCTTGTCTCATTCTTTGACTTTGCCAATTTCCGTTTAATATGACTTTTCTGTTGCTGAAAGTATGGTTTTAATGCCTTAAAATATTGATGTTTTGGATATGTTTTGATGCTATAATCATACAAAAATTTGTACTGCCACTTTTTTTCGTAAAGAGGAATTGTTTAATGAAAATTAATCATATTTATATTTATAATTGTGAAATAATATATTTTTTTTCACGGCCAACAATTTTTTTTAATGAAAAATATAAGACAATTTATTCAACACACTTTTTAATTTATAAAACAAAATGTTGATTGCGATTATCAAATCTGCAGAAATCATGCATTTTATTGAATAGTAGTAATATAAAATATTTTATTATTACTACCAAATGGAAAGTCAAAGATAGTCAATTTTGCACTATTAATTATGA